GGACAATAGAAGCAATCAAAACCAACAAAAGAGCAATGATATGCAAGTGCTATGACAAGTCTCCGTTAGCCTAACGCAGTACATGTAGCAAGAAGGTTTTTTTATATAATAACTACAAAGAAAACCAGTAGATAAAATAGAAAAATAATAGGAGACGTTAATGTGAGAGTGAATTGTTTATAATAAATAAAAAGAAAACAAGTAGATAGAATAGAAAAAGAACAGAGAAAGCTAGTGTTAGAGGCTTTTTTTTTAAGAAAACAAGCAGTTAGAAAATGAATAGAGAGTGCCAAGTGTTAGAGGTCTTTTTATAAATAATAATAAAAAAAATATATAGATAAAATAGAATCAGAGTAGAGAGTGCTAGAGTTAGTGGGTCAAATAAAGATGGAAGAGATATGTTTTTAGTCGATTCTTGAAGATGGTTAAGGACTCAGCTGCTCGGATTGAGTTGGGCAGGTCATTCCACCAGGAGGGAACAATTAATGTAAAAGTCCATGAAAGGGATTTTGTGCCTCTTTGGGATGGCACAATAAAGCAGTGCTAAGGGGGTCTGAATACTTTCCGTACCCACTGTATATATATATATTAAGGCTGTCAGTTTAACGCATTAACTTAATTAGTTATGAAAAAATTATGCAATTAAAATATTTGAACGCAGTTTACGCACTGGCCCCGCCCCCAGACCTGCCGGTCATTGTAATGTACATCATCTTACATTTCATACAGTTGACTGTTGACAAATATGATGCAGGGCAACAACACCATAAATACAGTTATGCCCTAAAATTCAAGATATGGGGGCAAAAATGCCCCTGTATGAATTTTTGTCTCATGTTTATATCACATAAGCGATATCACATGAGCAGCGAGAGCAATCACACGAGTGCTGTTTGTCCCGAGTGCAAATGGGATTTTATACAACAGTACAGTAAATAAGAAGTTAATATTGTGTTATATTTTAAACACAATATTGTGTTTTTGCTCAGTTTTGCCAACAAAAATATTACCTATAAAGCCACAGCAGAACTGTTGTGCGTCTCCGAGAAACACAGCGGTGTTTAGTTTCTGAATGAATCCGCATTTTGAACGAATCAAGTGAATCAATGATTCAAAGGCCCATTCATACCATTTACTGAATTCCTGAATGAATCAGCCATTTGATTGAATCAAATGCATGAATAAAGGCATAAAGACATTTACCCCTACCTGCTGGCAGTTTTAGTTTCTTATTTAGAGTATTATTTCATAAAAAAAAGGGGGGGGGGGGCTTAAAGGGATAGTTCACCCATAAAATTTAATTGTCATAATTTACTCAAACCTGAATGACGTACTTTCTTTTGTGGAACATAAAAGAAGGTATTTTGAAGACTGTTGGTAACAAAGCTGTTTTGGTTACCAATGACTTCCAAAGCATGAACAAAAAAAAAGTTTCTCAAATTATCTTCTTTTAGGCTATGTTCCATAGTTTATGGTATGGTGTTGTTGCCTAAACGTTTATGTGTAATAAATTTTATCTTAAATCAAATGAAATATTTCTTTCTAAAACGGCCATTTGTAATGTCTACTTAATACTTTCTGATTTAACAAAA